AAAGATACATAGATACAAAGATACAAAGATACATAGATATGTAGGTACATAGATATAAAGATACATAGATACAAAGATACATAGATACATAGATGCATAGATACAAAGATACATAGATACAAAGATACAAAGATACATAGATATGTAGGTACATAGATACAAAGATACATAGATACATAGATATATAGATACAGATATACATAGATACAGAGATACATAGATACAGAGATACATAGATACATAGATACACAGATACAAATGTAGATGTAGATACAGATGTGCAGATACAAATACATTTACATTTCTAGTTACACCTATAGAGCTCAACATACAGTTATATAGTTACAGATTTAGAGATCCCGATACAAACACATATATACACACAGATACATTTACATTTCTAGTTACAGTTATATAGATCCAGATGCAACTACAGATACATTTACAATTCTAGTTACATACATAGATCTCCAGATACAAATACATACATATATAGCAACAGATACATTTACAATTCTAGTTCTAGATATAGATCTCCAGATGCAGATACAATGAAAAATAGCGATAGTTACATTTACAGGTACAGCTACTGATACGGATACGGATACGGATACAGATACATGAACTAGTAAGCTGAGGCACAGTCGAACATGTGTTGCCACATGTCGAGGCGATATCAATTAAATTTTTTATAAATGCATATATATTATATTATATGTGTATATATATTTTTTATATATCAACAAAGAAAAGGCAATAGAAAAAAAAAAAAACAAATTAAACAACAAAGGCAGCCAGAGGCTCGGTGCAAAGTCGCTCGTGCAGCGCATATAAAAATTCAATTTTAATTTCGGCACAGCAACAGCAACATAGACAGCTACAGCTACAGCTACAGCTACAGATACAGATACAAGTGCAGCCATAGATACATTTGTGCGGGTATGCAAATTCGCTGATGGCCAGCAATGGCAACAACTAATGCGAGGCATATTCTAAACATGCCCAAAACCGTGCTCAGCGACTGCTGCCACGCTAATTGCAACAACAATGCCAGCAGCAGCAGCAGCAGCAGCAGCGACTACGCAATATTTGCCTTTTTGTTTATGCTCCAACAAACAAAAGCAACAATAACAAATTAAGCTAAATAAAATTAGAGTTTAATCTACCGCTTCTTACACCCTGTAAACATGACTTGCTTGAATGGGGTATATTGCACGTGTCTATATACGTTGATGAATATGCTATTTTTTATATATAAATAAAATTAGATTATAATTATAATTAATAGCAATTTTTATTCAATTATGATCAAAAATATTTTTCATTTTTCTACCCCGCAAACTAATTTATTTTGAATGGGTGTATGTTGTAAGGATAGGTGAATATAAATCTGTATGTAAAAACCTTTTTGTGTAGATGGAGTATAGATACTTAAAAATTAAAGCTATATATAACAAAAAAATAAATATAAATATAAAGACCTTTATGTGTTGATAGATAATAAATATTTAAAAATGTAACAAAAAAAATTTGAAAAAATTATTAAAAAATTATTACAAAGTATGTGAAAAATGAAAAAATGTAACGAATAAAAAATATATATAATATAAAAACATAAAACAAATAAATTTAACAAAATATTAATAAATACAATATTAAAAAATTATTCAAAAATATGTAAAAAAAAGAAAAATATATAACGAATAAAAAACAAATATAATATAAAAACACAAAACAAATAAATTAAAAAAATATATTTATATTAAAAAATTATTCAAAAATATGTAAAAAAAAAAAATAAAAAAATATAACGAATAAAAAATATATAAAATATTAAAACATAAACAAATAATAAAAAAATATACAAAAATAAAAAAATATTAAAAAACAAAACAACAAAAAGGTATATTAAAAATAAATATATATATATATGTATATAGATTTATTTCATCAGCTCTGTGACCTTGAAATAAATATTTACCTAGATGAATAGAACTTTAACAGAATTTGTATCAAGCAAGAAAAATTTACCGGAATTCATTATTTATAGCTCATCCATAAATCCATTCATTTAATATTTAAAAAAAAAAACACTTTATTTTGCTCGCACTCTGACTTCATTTCACTCAAGTACTGGGTATCTCCAAGTTGATTATTGCTCAGTAATGAGTTTTTATATGTTGGTTAAGACTAAGCAAGCAAAGTTTTTGTGAATGAAAGAAAACAAGAACAAATAATTAGCACTCTACTTAGGTATCCCTTACTGGAGACTCGATACAGTCAATAGGCGATAGTCATTGAATAAATTTTGCAATTGTATCTAAGATATACCTATTAATGAACGATCAGCATCAAGAGTTGGGTCTGCCACAAACTACTCATTGCATTGCTGTGATTCCAATTAGAAGACAATAGCTATTGTAACTGTAAGAGCAAAAGAGTTCCATTTACATGGAATGACTCACATAGCGATATTACAATACCTTAATGGGTATTTGAAGAGTGGCACGCCCGCCTGAGATATCTGAGAGCCTTATCGGGGGGAGGCATTACAAATATATATATGTGCATATATATTTGCGTTACCTTTTTCAGGTGCAACAAATGCATTTTCCTAGGGTATTTCTTGGAGTTTGAATTTCGTTTTCATTTTAATTTGTATTTGTATTTGTTTTTTTTTTTTTTTAATTTTATTTTTTTGTGTATTTTTTGGTGAATTATTTTTTATGATTTCGACTGATTTCGTGACAGTTGCGCTATGGAAATTATTTACATTTGTTGGCGGAACAGCAGCTGTTTGGCCAAGTTCCTGGAATGCGCAACTTATGGCAACACCAGAGGGAGCGAATGAGAGAGTATGAGTGGGAGAGAGAGAGAGAGGGGATAGAAAGAGAGCAAGAGCGATCTATATATATATATATATGTGTGTGTGTGTATGTGCGACTGGCACAGACGCCACAGCGCCTGGGATATGTAACCTAAGCTGGCCACGGCGCGTGTTTACAGCTGCTATCCTATTGGTTTCGCTTCTAGCCAGCCGGCCCGGACTGTGGCGGGGTGGGTGCGAGCCCGTGGCGCTCGCCTTTCTGTTTATGTGTGGCCGAGAGCCGAAAGAAAATATCTGAATTAGTGCATACATATGGCTAGGTGGCTAGGTGTACAAGGGAAATCGTATATAATACTCGAGGCCAGCCGATGGACGACGACGCCGACGACGCTGACGACGTCGACGACGCCGGAACGACAGTAACGGAACAGCGCTGCGATAGATACGATACGGCGATAAATACAAGCTAGAATCGAGCAACACTTATTTTCTACTGGAGCGTTCCGTTATCTTGGGGCGCATTAACCGTTCGCGTTTGGCATTGCACGCGTCGCTCTTGCTTTCCCAGCAAATCGAAATTCAATTTCTTATCAATTTTTCTGTTTCTGTGCTTCATTTGTGTTTGTATTTTCATTTTGAATTCATTTCTTGTACTTTTTATTATTTATTGTTTTTTTTTTTCCATTATTATTATTATTTTTTTTTTTTGATTTTACGTTTTTCGCTTTCGTTTTCATTTTTGTGTTTTTCGTTGTTCGTTTCTCGTCTCTCGTTTCTCCGGGCCGGCAGCAGCAGATAAGAGATGTCGGGGAAGGGCAAGCCCAAGCGTAGACTGACAACGGTGAGGCGTTCGCTCGAATTCTGTGCAAAAATAGTAAAACTAGTGAAAAATCAGGGAAATCGCCGCATCGACATCAGCACGAAATGCTGCAATTAATTTGCACTCGCTGCTCACAAATTGTATCTCAATCACTCCCAGCATAGCTCTCTCTCTCTCTCTCTCTTGCTCTGTCCCTCTACCCCCCACATTGCCATAATCTCATTGATAATGTCTATCTCTCACGTTTGGCCTGCATCTGCAACGATATTTATGCGCGCGCTGCGTGCTTTGTCTGCTTGCTCCACAGATTGTGCCAGTGAGCGATATTCTGCGCGCCCAGCAAATCAAGGAGGACAACGAGGTGCAGCAGACGCAGCAGTCGACCATCCTGCAGCGCTTCAAGAGCGCCTCCATTGCCAATCTCGACGATCTGCCCGGCGAGGAGGACAAGAAGTCGATTAGGAATCGCATGCGTATGAAATGTAAGTGAATATTCAAATCGCATTAAGTATACGCACCGGGGGTTGGCTCTCCTCTGATGGGACTTTTACATGGGTCAACTATGGGGGGGATTTTTATTATACCCCGAGCCAATTAATAAGGGGATTTCGTGTTTCCGTGAGAATATAGGCAATGGGCAGATGGCATCACCTTTTCGAACAGGACGACGAGCTGAATCGATATAGGCCTGTCCGTTTGAACGCCGAGATCTCAGAAGATATAAGAGCTAGAGACTTGCAATTTTACATGTATACCCGTGTATACAATACTCAGTACGACTTTATATCCTTTTTTCGATAACTCATCCCATTTATTTTTTTATTGAGAATAAACGATAAATTAATTTTGTTTTTAAGCGTAATTTGAATGCTACTAGACCCAGAGACCTCAGATTTACTGTGTATAGATATTTTATGAATACGAAGATTTTGTTAATTAAAGATTTTTGATACCATGCCCTATACGCCCCCAATTAAAAAAAAAGAAAACATACTCTAAGTACTGTAGAGGAACTATCCAGAGATAGAGATATGGAGAGAGAGAGAGAGAGGAACAAAACAACAGTTGAAAGGAGGCAACAGAAATGATCTTAAGATAATCGGATTACGCATCGTCTAAACTGTTCTCGGCCAAGGGGAATAACCGTGTTCAGATTTCGTCCGATAAGATATCATATGCGGGATTCCACTGAAGACATTTTGGCAATGAAAAAAACATAGTCGCCCTCCCAGTTCTGTCACTGAGCTTTTATTTTAGTCAAAGTAGGTCAGTTTAGTGATACATTTTAGAATATCTAGTGAGACATTTATATGCATTAGTCTATATTAATTTTGGAAAATTTATCTTTGATTGGGCGAGCCGGCTCGCCCTGATCTGCTCGTTCGCTATGTGGCCGGACGCCCTGATGTCTGTGCCGTTGGCGATAGGCCAGCTGCTGGGTCTTCAGAAAACTGGTAAATAGCTGCCTGACTTGGCTTGGCCGTAAAAGGCCTCACACGCGCCCACACACTGACACGCCCACACATGTATGTATATATATAGAGTCAGCTATGAATGGAATTGGAATTTGGAAATGCGAATGCGAATTCGAATCATGGAATGCGGTTTCAATCGTGCAGAGAGCGCTCTCACACTCGGATACTCTCTCTGTGTCTGTCTCTCTCTTTACAATTGGTCTCCCTCTCTCTCTTTCTCTCTCTGTCTGACGCTCAGTTTTAGTTAATGAACGTCGCAGGGGATTTCACTTTTTTTTTTTTTTTTTGTCTCATTGTGAGTATCACAAATGATTCACTGTGGGGAATCTTGGAAGGCACTTAGCATACGTTATTGTTGCTGTTGTTGTTGTTGCTGTATGGCGTAAGCTTTACTATTCCAGTCAGCGGCTTTTCTCAGAGATTTCGCATGCAAAACGCCCGCATGCCCAAACAAGGCACATCCATCGATTGCAGGCAATAAAGTTGAGAGCCGAAACGCAGTCGCATCGCGAGGCTCAGTAGAGAATCGTTTAGCTAGCTGAGTTGTTGTTGCTAAATTAGTTGTCGCAGCGGGTGGTCGGCCAGATGATTGACTGGGTGTGGGATAACAAATCGAAATACCGAGCTAATTCCATGGACAGACTGCTAGCTGAGAGTAGGCCAATGCTTGAAGAGCTGCGCATGAGCTTTGCACTAACTCAAATGACATTCTTTGATTTTCTTTTCATGATTCGAATGATGCCCTCGCCACCTGATGACGCCGTGCTACAGTTCATATGTAAGTAGAGAATATGCCCATGTCTCTGTATTCACTTGATTAACCGAAACTCGGGGCCCTTGCAGCAATCGATCGCCCAAGAGTGAGAAGAAATCGCGTACACGTCGCAGCCAGGTGAACAGCCTCTGTCTGGATGAGCAGTCCAAGTATCCGCTGTTTGGGGCGCGACTGAATCTGCTGGAGCTGAACATGTCCGATCATCCGTATGTGCCGCGCTTTGTCGTCGACGTCTGCGCCCACATCGAGCAGCCCGATTGCATCAAACAGGATGGCCTCTATCGCGCCAGCGGCAACAAGCTGCTCGTCGACGAGCTGAAGCGCAAGCTGACCCATGTCTATGATCCGCGCTTGCTGCAGACGGACGACATCCACACGCTCACCAGCCTGCACAAGCAATTCTTTCGCGAGCTGCCAGCTCCGCTGATCACCCAGGAGGCGTACGATCGTCTGGGATCCTGCCTGACCGACGATGCGGCGATCGAGCTAATGCATTTGTCATTCGATGAGATGCCCGAGCCGAATCGCTCGACACTGCGTTTCCTAATCAAGCATCTGACCAAGTGAGTGGACTGCAACGAGAGATGGGAGCTTAAAGAGCACAGAGAGCTGAGAATAGATCAGTTGGGATCATCTACGGTAGAGTGTAGATGTGGAGGCTGAGTTATAGAGAACAGTTCAGCTGAGATTATTATGTTATGATTATTAGGCTATGTCTGGAGCTATGTTAGATAGTTTGATTATAGAGCATAGAATTTTATACTTTATATATTCTATATAGTATCTATTGCCTTAGGTTAGTCATGAACTTAGTCGATAGTTCGATTATAGAGCATTAGATATAAAGAATTTTAGCCTGTATAAGTATTATGTAGTACATATTGTGTTAGGCTAGTCTTCAAGAATTTTATACTTTATATATATTATATAGTATTTGTTGAAATATGTAGCCATCCATAGTTGAATGGACATGTAACATGTAGTCAACTATCTACAGCCTATTCGTTGTCAGATGTTGGCATATAAGCATACATTTTATGGATATCAGAGTATAATTTATAGACCTGTATTTCCAGAGGGAAATAGAATTGTTATAGAGATAGATATTAGAATATAATTTATAGACAAGCATCTCTTGAGTCGCCTAGAATTGTGATTTGACTCCAAAGCTTTGTTAAATTAGTTTTCGAGCTATAGAAATGGTATATATAGAAAGTAGTCATGCCGCACATACAACTAAGTCAGTCTGGAGTGAAATTTAAGCCATCACGCTGCCTTATATAGTAAGGAAAGACATTAATAGAAATAGCTAGTGTCGGCTAATAGTTTGCATTATAGAATATCAAATGATATATGTAGAGCCAATGTTAAAACTCATGTTGAAGTGTAGTTATGAAGCTGATGGGCGTGGCTATAAAATATTGATTATATATAGTTTTAGCTTACATATTAATGATAGTTGAAATGAATTGTGAGATCAGGCAACAATTCATATAGCTGACAATTGATATAAGATTTGATATGTAAAGCGAATGTTAAGTTTCATGTTAAATACGAATTGTGGTAGCAAATGCATTGCATATCTTTGGTGTAGTTTTGAAGCTATCAAACTGTAATAGATATAGCTTAATAGGCGTGGCTATACAGTTTAGATCTAGTTTACATTTTAAGGATAGTCTCAATGAATTGTGAGATCCAACAATAATTCGGATATCTGACTGTTAAGAGTTCACATAGTTGTTGTGCTATAAATTAATATATATATGTATAGACCATATATAGTTCACATAGAAATATTAATGCACCTTCCAATGAATTCATCAAGTTGATGGCATAAAATTTGTTATGTAAAGCCAATGTTAAATTACATGAGCATGTTAAATAGAAACTATATTTGCTCACGCATTAGCAATTAGCTGACGTTGCACTAGCTATATAAAGCCTTAAATCAGTCCAAGGTGAAATTTGAATAATTAAGTAATCGAGCTGTAGGCACTGTAGCTTAATAGGCCTGCTCATTGAGAGTGGGTCTATTAGGTATTATTCTGCTAAGGTAAACCTTGGTGAATTGCTGGGATAAGCAATGAATAGTCAATGCTAGTTTGATGAATAGTTCGCACTCGGAGCAATAAAATGCTATAATTAAAGCTAATGCTAAGCCACATATCAAGTCGAAATTTAGGCATGGACAACTAGGAGGAGTTTCGCTCGTAGCTTTAACGTGTCAACAAGTTTAACAACTGGTATTATTTTAGCAAATCTAAATACGATAATAGCTCAGTTGAGCTCAAACAGGCTTTGCATGCAGCCAAGAGCTGGCAAATGCAATGGGTATTAGTCCAAGTCAGTAATATGTGTATTAACTTATGGAAATCATTTTGTTGTTATCTTTGCAGCGTTGCGGCATTCAGCAGCGACAATCGCATGCCTGCCTCAAATCTGGCCATTGTCTGGGGGCCCTGTCTGCTGGCTGCCAACAATATCAATTTCAATATTGGCCGCATGAACATGTTGGCCAAGGTGCTCATTGAGAACTACGAACGCATCTTTCGTCCGGCAAATGAGCGTCTTGTGTGCTAGAAATGCATACACACATACACACATACATAGTTGTATGCATGTGCTTATTCACATATACACAGATACATACATATATATATTTATATAGAGGAGCCGTAGGCGGAGGGAGAACAACAAAGGAGGACAACAACATCACAGAAATTTTGTGGCCTTTGCTAGTGGTGCGAGAGATGCCGAAATTTATCACAATTTTCCATCATTTTTTGTAATAATTATGATTACGATTATTATTAATATTAATATTATCATTATGATTATGATTATGATTATTATCATTATAATGCTTGTCTTGTTCTTACATTTGCCTGCAATTGCTGGATTTAGTCGCATCCCAATTTGTGCTTTAACATTCTCCTCTCCTCTCCCCTTCTCCCCTTCCCCTAATGTTTATTTATTGTTAAAAACAAAGTGTTTGAACCCCAAGCAAACATTTCATGTAGTCGAATTGAGCAAACACACGCGAAATACTTACCAAAAAGACAGTAGACTAAGTGGAACTAGTAGTACAGTGAACGCTAACTATGGCTAATTATGTATGTAACAAGAACTCACAGATACATACATATACATACGCATGTATGTTATAGATACTACATCATTTTTTTTTAATACATTTTTTTTTTTTTTTTAATATATATGTAATAGAATTTGGCCTTGTGAACGTGGCCAAATGATAAGCAGCATACTCTAGGCATTATCTATGCATAATATTCTTTAGCGATATATCAAGATATATGTATTTATCATAAATGTCATGTCTTATTTTTTTTCGCTTTTTTTTTTTGAGTTCACAAATGAGTTAGTTGTGTATGTGTATATATATGATATACATATATATGTCGTATATACTAAAATTAAACATTGTAAATGTTATTATGTTTTTCTCTTTTTTTTTTTTTTGAATGTCAAAAGAACATTTGTTTGATATTTTAATAAATCTGAAAAGTATTTCGAGAATAAATATAAAATTAAGAGGTTGTTTTTACTTGTGCATATATGTATGAGTTTATTTATATGCATATTCTGTAGTTTTTTTTTAATATAAAGGAACAGAAGTCGTTGAGTTAATTGTTAAACGTTTTATACCTTACTTGAGATCTATCGAAAACATCTTATCAGACTTCAGGTCTTTTATAGCTGTAATCCATTGAGCGCCTTGAGCTGGACTATTCGTGTGACGACCTCTTAACGAACATAGCTTAGGCAGCGATGCGATTGACGCTCGCTCAATAAGAGTTACAGGGCTGTTCATATTCGAGGAACCCATCTGGTAGCCTTATATCTTTCCACAGAGGCACGCACAATACGCCGTACAGGCTGTAGGCGACCATTGGAGAGATATCATATTCAAAATTTAGGTCAATAAATCCATGTGAAGTAACTATAATCAACATAAAAAAGAAATTTTTTGTTTTGATAAAAAAAAGCAAGGGTCTGTCGAATATGGGCAACTTTATAGGGCTGCCAGATGGGTCCGTCGAATATGGGCAACTCTGCAGTATATATAGATCAACATCTGAAGAGTCTGTACCAAGAACCCAAGAAATAAATTTCTGTCCGATGGAGAACAAACTCGTTGAAGAGCCGGCATAATCTCTCTCTCAATCTCTGACTCTTTTCTCAGAGTGTCCGCAAAAGTAGTTAGATGATCTTCTTCACAGTTCAAATCTTAATGTATCACTTTTGCAAATCAAGAATAATATGATTCCATGAATGTAAATCAACCAGCTTCAAGCCTGCTGTAAAATAAATTCAAGTTCTTGGACTATTTGAATTCCCAATGGTTTTCCACATCCTTCTAGCAGTTCTGCATATGGTAAAGGATATTATCAAGCCAGCTATAGCTCTACAGTTTGTTATTTAGGCTTAACAACAATTATTGAGATGCATTTTACAATGAGTTATAGCAAATCGAGTCGTTGGCAAGTCTTAGCCCAGCCTGGGTTGAGCAGGCCTTCAGGCTGGGCTTGGCTCGGAAATTGTGGGCCGTGGCTTGGTTTTGTTTAGACAGCGCTTGACTTTCGTTTTCCTTTTCAAACAAGATTTGTGGTCCATTTAATTGATATTGCAATGCAAATGGAAAATGGAAAATTGTTGGAGCAACAGCAAAAAGCTGAAGCTGAAGCGGATGTTGATTTTGGAGCTAATAATGCTCAGCTCTCAGCTGTGGGAGTGGGGCTGGGGAGCAATGCACTTGGGTTGAATTTGATTTTTGATTCTGTTTCGTTTTCGTTTTCTTTTCTTCGTTCTGCTCTGCTCTTCTTGTTGGGGCTAGACGGCCGCAAAATGCAATTTGGCCAAGCAAATTATACGTAAAGTTTTGTGAGAGTCTCTCCAAGAGGAGAGCGGCCGGTGGTTAGCCAATGTAATCAGCCGAGCATGTGACGTGTCCTTTCAGCGAATGTTCAGCCACACACACACACACACACACACACAGATGGCGTCTCCTTGGCGACTAAAACTTTTGCCGGCCAATCAGCCAGAGCCATGGCCAAAAGCCGCAAAGCCCAACACACAGTTCCGATTCGCATTTGCGGCCATTTCGGCTGAAATCTCTAACAAAATTACAAATTATGCCGAGAGTTGAGAAAGTGGGCGTTGCGGCAAGTCTTGGACAAATGAAAGGGTCACACACACACAGACACACAGAGTCTAGTAAATTGATCCACATGCGACAAATAGTTGTGGATGAATGTGAGGCAAATGCAATTATGACTCACAAAATGAGTCCGCATTTAATTGAGAATGGAAATTGAATAAACATTTGCAACTTGTAATCGGGTTAGGCCAATGGAAGCCAGAGCTGGTGCTGGAGCAACGATGTCACTGGGCTTATAATTAAATTGTTGCCGGCCACAAAGGCTTCTTAGCGTCTGTGCAGCAGCCAAGGATTGAGTCTTCATTTTGCGCTTGGCTTACGGATTGAAAGGTTTGGCAGCTTCTCAATTTGGAGCTGGCAATTTGCGGGCCATGTGTTCAATTGCATACCCTAGGCTAGCTCCAGACTTGGCCAACAACTTGGCAAGCATTAAAGTAGTTAAAGTGAATTCTAAACTGAGATTTCTGCTCTCAATATCTGGGATTAAAGACAAGTAGAGTCAATTAACTATTTACAGGGTATTAGCTAGTCGCATTCATATCTTTAGTTCTGGCTTTCTCTGTATTATTTTCCTTTTGTTCTTCCGTCTTCTACCTTTTTTTGTTTTTTGTTTTTTGGCAACACTCAGCAAATAAATTTTGCGATTTCATTGCGGCCAAGCAGTTGACTGCAGAACAGAATAACTGAGGACCAGTCATTGGATGAGTGGAGCAGGATTACCACTTGCCCGACGAGCGGCCTGACCACTGAAACGTGCCTTAACTTATAAAATATGGCAAGTGCCAGCTGCCAATTGCACTGGACCGCAATGCTAACAATTTGCCTCTTGGCTGAAGCCGAAATACTCTACGTCCTACAGTCCTTCATTAAAAGTCGATCTATTATTGTATAACTAGGTATTTGAGTGAAAATATATGATAATATATGCATAGAGAAAGTCTATGAAAAATCTTACTGAATTATGATATTGATTAGTGATGCTGCTAATGAGAAAGCCAATGCGAATGGCAGTGCTAATAATATTGTTAATGAAAATACCAATGCTATGCTAATGTAAATGAAAAGAAGAAAAAGAAGAATAATAAGAATAATAATGAGCATTGTTCAATTTAAAAGAATGAAGATGCCAATGCTAATGCTAATGTTAATGTATTAATAATTTATGAAAGTGATAATAAACATGACAATGATACGCTAATGCGTATGGAAATAAGGACAATAATGATAATAATAATGAAGGATAATAATGATAATAGGATAAGTATAATAATGACAATAATTATGACGATGATAATGAATGAATGATGCCAATGCTAATGATAATGATAATTATAATTATAATGATAATGATAATAATAATGATAATGATAATGATAATGATAATGATAATGATAATGATAATGATAATGATAATAACAATGATAATGATAATGATAATGATAATGATAATGATAATGAAAATGTCAATATTAATAATAATAATGCTTATGCTAATGATCATCTGTCAATGATATTGACTTTGACATATTGACGAGATAACATACATAATAATGATCAGTGGTAATAAAATTGCGATTGCTAATGCTAATAATGATGAAAATTATTTCTTTTTTGGAGGTGGGTAAAATTACTTTAAGTAGCGTTAGTCAGTTCTTCACTCTTAGCTGCTCAACGATTGAGAAACTCACTCTATCAGATTTTAAACCCACAAGAGCCTACAAAGTGAAGCTTATAAAGTGAAGTGCTCTAGCTGACCTTTGTCCCAAGTATTCCTGCCTACAGTACCCACTTCAGACAGTTTTTCAAGCATCTTTGTCTGCCAGACTTCTTATACTATAGTCACTACCTTAACATTGACAATAGTTTGTGCCAGGACGGTGCTTTCTTCAGTCTACCTTAAGATAATGATAATGAAAATTCATAATATGAATATTAAGAATGCAATTATTTGAAGTATGCAATGATAAAGAATCCCTAGAAATATTTTATATATTTTTAAATATTTTTATTAACTGCAAAAGCGATTATTTAAAAAATTATGAATCAAGTTTTTTAAATATTAGTTAAATATTTGATAAATAAATGAGAATTCACATATAATGAAATTTGGCATTTCTCTACATTGGATATTTATATACATATGTATTACGCAATAACTGTTAATGTAGAGCTCCGTTTAAGTCACTTTCATCTCTCAGTAGCTGCGTTACAATTCCCATGACATAGTAATGAGAACTGGAGCTTAGGCAGCAAGTGAAGGAACTGAAGTACGAGCAGCAGCAGCAGGAGTTGGCACTTGTTGTTGGCCAAGTGGTTGCTGTTTGGATCTACGAATTTGCCGGGACGCAGGCTGAATGAGGGGGGGTGTCAAGGGGCGCCACCTGTTGGCGAGAACTGGGTGAGGCAGCAAAGGCCGCAACCGACGGATTTTCCTCAAGCGTTCGCTAACCGCAGCCGCAGCCGAAGCAGCAGAAGCACTCGACATTAAGATGCCGGCAGTGCGTAATAACTGGGCGGTGCTAAAGCCGTAGTTGAGCCTGAGAGTTGGCTGACAGGACGCTGAGCTGGCAGCAGTCAAGGATGTGACAGTGCTGAGCCCATTTGACACGAGCATAATATAATAAAAACCGCAAACAAGTGATGTCAACCCGCCCAGAGCGCCCATTCAACTGAATCGGACTGCGGGCGGGGTTTCTGGGGCTGAGGCTGAGGCTGAGGCTGAGGCTGAGGTAACCTTCACATGGACTTCATGGCTGTGGTCCAAACGGACTGTGAAGTGATGTCGCCTGTCTGTCTTGCAGCGCCTAGACCCTGAGCCGGCCTGAGCTGGGGCCCGGGCGTTATCCTTTAGGCGTGATTAAGCCACAAGTGCGTGACATTTTAATGCGACATTTATGCCCAAGACAAGAGATTATTATTGAAAACGCGCCACTGCAGTCGCGTGACAACAACAACA